GAGTAGCCTTGAACTTGCAGTCTTCTACTTCAGCCCTTCAGTTCTGGGATGACAACCATGTACCACCATGCCTGATTAAAAATCAGTATTTTTTATTAAGAAATTGTACATAGGGCCAATGTAAGCGTAACTCTTTATTACTATTTCTGTCTGATAATCATACTCTAAAGAAATACAGTATTATAGTGGAATATGAAAGTAGTGACAGTTAAATGTGAGAAAGATTTATAAATAAAAACACTGGCGAAGTAATATATACAGAAAGATAGGGAGAAAAAAAATAATCCAGGAAACTATTTGACAAAGTTGTAAAATAGGAGGCAAACTTACATTGTTTCCTGATTATATAGGTAGAAAAGAAGAAAAAAATGTTTTTACAGTCCTAATGAAGAAATATATATATATATATATATATATATAAAATCATGCTATCTCAGTTACTTTTCTCTCATTACTGAGACAAAATACCCAACACCCAAAATTAAGGAAGGAAAGGTTTATATAGCTCACAGTTTGTGGAGGTTTCAGTCCATACTTGGCTGGCTCCAAGGCAGAGTGGCACATGAGAGAGGGCAGCGATTCACTGTGGTGGAAGACAGCAAAGAGCAAGGAGAGGAGCAGTGGCTGCAGCACTAACAAGCCTCTCTTCCTTCCTTATTTGTATGCAGATTACCCACCCTGGGGCTGGTGTAGCACTCACACCCATAGTACAAACACTGGATCATGAATTAATCACAAACTCTAGATGTCTACCCTATTCACTGCATGAGGCTTTTGGGGGACAGCTAGACACAAACCATGACACATACATATTAGAAATAATTATAGAATTCTTGTGGAAAAAACCAAAAGACTTAATAGCACATCGCATATATTTCTTCTTCTGTCTAGAAGATGATATTTAATGTCAAGAGACTGATTTAATGTCGTAGTAATCCCTGGTTCAAAAAAATGTAGAATAACAGCAATCATAATAATCTCAGTAGTTTTCCTTCACTTTTTTTTTTAACTACTGCAATATAGCAGTGTATTTATAAATGAGAACAAATCAACAGTGAACAGTGCTTCAGACATTGAGAAAAGGGAACACCAATAGTACTAAATGCACAGCCTTTTATTTATTTTCCTGAGGTTCAGAGTTGAGTTTCTGTGATTTAATTATATAAAGATGAAAGGTCAGTAGGCAACCTAAAATATTTATTAAAATTATATCAATACTTAATAAACTGTACAAAAAAGACAAATGAGATAAACATATGTATTTATAGAACTGCGCATCAGTCAAGCTAGCTCCTTGCAGAGAGAATTGCTGGTGTGACCTCATTTATCTGTGAGAGCACAGAGCAATCCCTGGTGAGACACATGCATCCATCTACTTGTCCAGCATGGTCAGACCTCTGCTTCCGGATGGCTTCCTTCTCCTATGAATGTGTATGTCCAGTAGTCTGCTTCTAACAGCAGTCATTTACCTTCCTCATCCACCACCCTTTGGCAGAGGACTGGGACCATGAAGATGATTGATTCTACCTATTCTTTGGGGAGGGTTTCCTGGTGGCCCTCTTCTATCATCATATCTGGAATCATATTAATTTCTGTAGCCTCTTCCTTTTTTCACATCTTGCTGAAGCAAAGTTTTGAAAAACAAAACCACAGACTCAGCTATTCCCCACAAGAAATCTGTTATTAATGATGGTCTCCATGGGGCCTGATTGACTAACACTTGCCCATTGGAGATGTAAACCATCTTCCCTCACTCCTGGCTTTGCAGCAACTTGCCTCACTTTCTATATACAATCCTAGCTCCTTAGCACCTGGATGTTCTTAAGCCCCACTGTTTGAGTGTCTGCCTGTCTCTGCAGTTTCCTAGACATCATCCCACCCGCCTCCCAGTTAATTACTTGCCACTACTGCTTCTAGGTGGCTAGGCTCAACACTTAAATTAAAAATCCAGTCCAAGCAATACAAGTATGAAAATAACCAGTGTCTAGTATTTGGCAGATACTTCATATATATTTCTTAAGTTGAATTTAAAAAGTGCCAACTCAGAGTGATTTTCACTCTTTATTATTGTTATGGGGAATTTCAAAGCATATAACACAGTCATTTCCCCTTCAGAAGTAGAGACAAAATTGTAAGTATTAAATAGGAATGGTATGATATTGACTGTTTTCTATAAATTTGACAGATTAAAAATAGTCAGGTAATGGATCTGTGTATGGCATATATGTATTGCCTAACACAGTGTATGGGAAACCTACTTTACTGACATGAGGGAACATCCATTCCCCTAGATTCTGTGACTATTATGTGTACATAGGAGTTTGGGAGACAAATTCAGAGTTTGATTTGAAATAGAGGGCTGCAGATTTTAGTTTTTTAAGATATTGGTAATTAAAAGATTTTATTACTTTCAGGACCAAATTAAATATGTGGTTTCTTTGGGAGCCTAAAGGATAAAGAAACCTGGAGATATATAATTCCTAAAAAAGTAATAGGTCCAAGTGGCCAGCTGTATAGCTCAGCAGACTAAAGTACCTGCTTAGGCAGAGCGCAGAGGCCATGCTGGCCCTGCCCCTAACCCCCAGGGTGCACTGAGATGGTGATTGAGACAGTGTGGTGGCGCACATGCCTGTATCCCAGTACTTGGGAAGCTGAAAACAGGAGAATCACTATGAGTCCAATCTACATAGTGAGACCCTTTAGACCATGTACTAAATACATTAAAAAAACCAAAACAAAACAATAGGTCCAAAGGATTGGTACAGCTACTCTGATGATGAATTGAGTTAAAAAGATGGTAACTGAGCATGAAGCAAAGATCATTTCTCCTCTCTTATTTCAGGCTGCAGAGTTGTGCAGGTCCTCCCTCAGGAGTGAAATTCCAGCAAAGGGCTTAAAAAAACCAAAAATTTGGTTTTGCTGCAGTCTCATGTTTTTGAGGGCTCATGGTTTTCACAAACTAGTCTATTTGGTGAAATAGGGCAACAGGCATGAGATCCTGACAGAGAGAGCAGTAGTTTTGGGTTAATAGGTGAGGAGAAACTTTTGCTGAAGAGCCAGTGTCAAGGATGGTCCTGGAAGGTGGTGGGGAGCCCTTTGCTACTGGAAAGAAGTAAAGGATGGTGCAGTCCATGTGTCATGTAGAGGCCAGGAGGCACGAATTCCTTCTCACAGCAGCAACAAGGATGATCTGTCAGTGTACTGTTGTTGAGTAGGAGCTGAATTATGAGGACAACATGTCTGTAGAGGGTTTTTGCACATCTTTGAGGTTTCTACAAGCTTTCTTGGCTTTGAGTTTATCTCCTAAAGGTAAGAGGTCAAATGAAGAAGACTCTACAGGAATGAAGAGCTTATAGGGTCTTTTCTTTCCCCCTGTTGACAGTTCAGCCTATTGTAATGGAATTTGTACCCTAATCATGCATTAGAGTGGTGTTTTTGAAGGTCAGCAGGGACCCTGCAGTTGCTAACTTTTACCCAGCATACACAGTTCAAGAACAATAGCTGTTGAACCTTTTAACACTCTTATCTCCTGCACTGCTCTCTTTCTTGATTTCTCTGGTTCTACTTTTCTTTGTTAGGGCTAGGGTTGGTGTGTCTGCTTCTCATTTTACTTTGCAGGCTAAGCCCAGACTTCATTTTCTAAATGCTCTCCTGTATGCCATTCCTGTCCGTCTCCTCTCTTCAAGCTACATCTGCTTCCTGAGGAATCTCTTGCGTATCTTTGACTTCTACCCCAGTGATTTCCAAATCTTTTTATTCATATCTTTTTTAAAAAGTTCCACATCTATATATCCTATATCTACTTAAAAAACTTTCCAATTATTTTTTGTTTATTTATTTTTTAACTTTCCATTTAGATAGCCCACGAACACCTCAGACTCACGATGTCTAAAAGGTAAACATAAAAGCTTTACCTCAAGCTGATACCATTCTGAATTTCCTATCTTAGTGCATACATTATCAGCCACCTACTTCCCTAAAACAGAAACTTGTGAGGAGTCTTTTTAAATCTTTTTTTCTTCTGTATGCCTCAAAAAATCAAATGTGAGTCATAATTAGTTCTAGACAATTTCTCAGATGCACTTGCTTTTCCACCTCTTTTGTTGGAATACTTCAGTCACTATCTCTCCAAATATTTGGGCCACATATTTCTACCTCTAGTACTAATTGTTCCCATTATCCCACTTATTTCAGCAAATCTGACTGTATTCCCTGACCCTTTCCCAGAGATTTGTGTGAGGGATGAATTCTAACTCAACTGGTCATTAAGTCCTTGGCCACCCATGTCCCACGTAACCTAGGTATAATTCTTGGTTTGGTCTTACTTCAATACTCTGATAATGATTGTTCATTTTCCTGAACTCCTAAACTGAATATCAATACCATACGTGAGGACTTAACTCAGCTACATGCCTTGTATCGCTGTTCTTTGTGTTTATGTATTTTATGGACCAAGTGAGGGAACCTCCAGGGCTTGGACCATTACTCCAGAAAGGAGAAGACTGTAAGTTATGAAGATACAGTGTGAAATCAATAAATATTTATTGGATTGGATAACATTAACTAATAAGTTTTTCTCTTTATATACATTATTTATTAATACCAAATTATTTAAAATTTTTTTTAGTTTTACATTTAAGTGCATGAAGACTTACATTTTTCTAGTAATACTGTTATTTATTTGCTAATTAACAGAACTTAACTTTTCATTTTCACCTAATAAGTCTGTTTTTCCTAGGTGAGGAATTCTTATAATGTGCATGGTGATAATAACAGCAAGAATGTGCTAAATACCATGAGATTCTCTCACATTCTTCTGTCATTGGAAAGGCTTATAAATTGAAAAGCATCACAGTTTTAATTGGTCTTAAGATAGGTTATTTGGTTCTTAGCTTCTCAAATATACCCTTTTAAGAAAATGGTTTTGGGGGTTTAATTTAAGATATCTTAACAATTAATGTGCACTTAGAGCATAAACGATTGTTTTGTTTCTGACACAGGCATTAACATGCAGAGAAGAACTCTTGACTCTTCTTCTTTCACTCCTTCCCCTCGTATGGAAGATACCAATTCAGGAACAGCAGGCAACAGGTATGTTTCCCCTTGGAGATTATTCAAATGTTGTACTGATTAGAAAATGTATGAAAAAGCAGAATACTTATCGAAAGGAGTAAACTTAAGTATGCCACATATCAGAAAAATGAATAACAAACATTTTGAAGAGTGAAATTAAACTTCCTTTGCTTAAAGATTGTTTCCTGGGGACTGGGAAGATAGCTCAGTGGCTTAAGTTCCTGTCTGGGAAGCACAAAGTCCTGAGTTTTATCCTTGGTACCCAAAAAAAAAGAGATTGTTTTTTGCTACATTGCTCTAGAAATAATTTTTACAGTATTTGTTCTAGTATATTTTTTATAGTGTTGGTTTTAAAGGATAAGTTTGAAATACTGTTAGTATTTTGTTTCATGGCTAGATAGACTTTTTATACTTAGGGCCAATAAATATTTACTATTTCTGACTTGGAAAAATCTATATGTAAAATTATATAAAACTTGAAATATTTCGGTGAAAAGATGAACAGTTTTTGGGTATGTAAACTGAGACTTTGAGGATAAAAATTCTCCTATATTATATTTTAACGCCTTGTTATATTTCTAATATATTTCTGAGATGGGCTGTATTTTAGGGAATTACCTAAAGTCTCCTAATACTGTGTCAGGAAGTTATACAAAATATTATAATACTGGTTTTTGCTCTTTTCTTACTTTCTTCTGAATTTGTAGAGTTCAATAATTTTCAAATCACTTAAAGAATCTGGTTAGTGCCCTTTTAGATGGGTTGTCTTTGTTGCCTGTATCTTTTGCTTTGGTAGTGTTACTTATACACCTTTTAATTTCTCCTCTTACTATCTTGTTTTCCATCTCCTAATTAAAGCAAAAATCTTCTATTTACAGATTTTTATTTATTCACTCTAAGTTACAACTATATTTTCCATTTAGATCTTATTATAATTTATTGCAAATGGAGTGTTGACCACATGACGGACTTAGCTCTAGGGGACTGAGTTCTGAAACTGTGATGTCCGTGCATGGTGCCTAGTTCAAGTACATGCGATATTTGAGAAGTATTTCTAGTGAAGAACCCTTTTAACTTCAGTCTTGTTGAGTGTTTGGTATACATTGTATGATTTTGAATTAATTTTGGAAAATTGTAAAGTTCTTGAAGGCTCTAAATTAATATTGTTTTTGAGAATATAATACATCCATGCATCTTAATGTGGTACTACTATTGAAAGAGATTTGTAAAATGGTGTGAACAGCACCACTAAATCTCAGATAATCAGTTCAGAGTCTCTTGTGTTGATAGTAGAATGCAACATATGGCTTTCCTGATTCTATTCACTTTTGTTGTTTTCAAAATCAGATTAGATCCTTTGAACTAATCACACCTGGTATTTTTGGAGTGAGAAAAGTAAGTATAGGGAGAAGTGACTCAGAGACCTAACATAACGGAAGGAAATAGCACTGTAAGAAAAGTATCAGAGTCTAGACTCCTGAAGTTGGTGATAAGTAAAGGGGGCATTATTACCTTTATAAATTGAGTATTCTAAGTCTTCTTTCTTCATTTCATTAGATTTTAATCTTCCATTGTCATCTAATATAATCCTGACCAAAGAAAAGAACACAAGTTCACAAAGACCTACTCAGGAAAAATTACATTTGGAAGGAAGTGCCCCATCTGGCCAGGTTTCTGGGAAAATAAATGTCTTTCGAAAGGGCAGACGACAGCGTAAAAGCACTCATCGTTATTCCATAAGAGATGCAAGAAAGTCACAGCTCTCCACGTCAGATTCAGAAGGCAATTCAGATGAGAAAAGTACAACAGTGAATAAGCCCAGAAGACCCCATGTACTGCAACATTTTGTAACACAGTCTTCTAAAGAAACCCCCCTCACAGCTAAACTCGACCCCTCTGCAACCAAAGAACAGACTCTGCCAGACACGATGGCTTTGGAAAACTCCAGAGAGATTATCCCAAGACAGGAGTCAAATGCTGACATTTTAAGTGAGTCAGCTGCCTTGTCTATTCTCAGTAACATGAATAATTCTCCATTTGACTTATGTCATATTCTTTTATCTTTATTGGAAAAAGTTTGTAAGTTTGACATTATGTTGAATCATAATTCTGCCCTGGCAGCCAGTGTAGTGCCCACACTGACTGAATTCCTAGCAGGCTTTGGGGACTGCTGTAACCTAAGCAACAGCTTGGAGAGTCGAGTGGTGTCTGCAGGTTGGACTGAAGAACCAATGGCTTTGGTTCAGCGGATGCTCTTTCGAACAGTGTTACATCTTATGTCAGTAGATATCAGTACCACAGAGGTGATGCCAGAAAATCTTAGAAAAAATTTAACTGAATTGCTTAGGGCAGCTTTAAAAATCAGATCTTGCTTAGAAAAGCAACCTAACCCATTTGCACCAAGACAAAAGAAAACACTACAGGAAGTCCAGGAAAGCTTTGTGTTTTCCCAGCACCGGCACAGAATCCTCCTTTTACCTGAGCTTTTGGAAGGGGTTCTACAGATCCTGATCTGTTGTCTTCAGAGTGCAGCTTCAAATCCCTTCTACTTCAGTCAAGCTATGGATTTGGTTCAAGAATTCATTCAGCACCAAGGATTTAATCTATTTGCAACAGCAGTTCTTCAGATGGAATGGTTGGTTTCCAGAGGTGGAGCTCCTCCTGAGGCCTCGGAACATTTGAAAGCCCTAATAAGTAGTGTGATGAAGATCATGAGTACTGTCAAAAAAGTGAAATCAGAGCAGCTTCATCACTCAGTATGTACAAGAAAAAGGCATAGACGTTGTGAGTATTCTCACTTTATGCATCACCACCGAGATCTTTCAGGTCTTCTGGTTTCAGCTTTTAAAAATCAGGTCTCCAAAAACCCATTTGAAGAGACTGCAGATGGAGATGTTCATTACCCTGAGCGGTGCTGCTGCATTGCAGTGTGTGCACATCAGTGCTTGCGCCTGCTGCAGCAGGCTTCCTTGAGTAGCACCTGTGTCCAGATTCTAGCAGGTGTGCACAGCGTTGGCATATGCTGCTGTATGGACCCCAAATCTGTAATTATACCTTTGCTTCATGCTTTTAAATTGCCAGCGCTGAAAAATTTTCAGCAGCAGATATTGAATGTCCTTAACAAGCTTATTTTGGATCAATTAGGAGGAGCAGAGATATCTCAGAAAATTGAAAAGGCAGCTTGCAACATTTGCACTGTTGACTCTGACCAGCTGGCCAAGCTAGAAGAGACCCTGCAAGGCAATTCATGCAACGCTGAATCTCACTCAGGTTTATCTAGTCCCTCATACAGATGTCAAGGGATCCTACCAAGCAGTGGGTCTGAGGACCTATTGTGGAAATGGGATGCATTAGAGGCTTATCAGAACTTTGTTTTTGAAGAAGACAGATTACATAACATACAGATTGCAAACCACATTTGCAGTTTAATCCAGAAGGGCAATGTAGTTGTTCAGTGGAAATTGTATAATTATATATTTAATCCTGTGCTTCAAAGAGGAGTTGAATTAGCACATCGTTGTCAACACCTAAGCATTACTTCAGTTGGACCTCAAATGTGTAGCCATCTGAAAGAGTGTTTGCCTCAGGAAGTGCTACAAATTTATTTAAAAACTCTGCCTATCCTACTTAAATCCAGGTTTGTATGCATGCAGACATGCAGCTTTTTTTTCCTTACTTGATGATTTTGAATGTGAGATAAATTATATTTGTTTGAATTTCTAAACAAGATACCTTCACACACTCATCAGTGTGGTAATAAATATATATTGTATTCGTTTCTAGGATTTAATTTTCATTTATTATCAAAGAAATATCCTATCCCATATCAGATATTTTAATCTTTTATTTTGGTTATACCTGGAGTAGTTATAGTGGAGAGATATAGCAACTGATTTTAATTTTCCAACTAAAAAAGATACAATTTTAGATATGCTGTTCACGGAAAAAATAGATACAGCATACAACTAGGAACAGGATAAAGTTTAAATTGGTTATTTTATATTTATTAGATGAAATACTGTTAACCATAAAAATTTACAGAGATCATGTTGAATGAGGAGAAAATGCTATAATACTGTATGGGTAAAATAAAATTTAAAATAACGTTCACTTGTTTACAATTGTGTAAAATATGTACATGAAATAGGCAATGGCATTAGAGAGATTGTTGTTGTTATAACTAGTTGTTATTATTATTGTTTGAGACATTCTTGCTGTGTTGTCAAGGCTGGTCTTGAATTTATGATTTTCCCTCAGCTTCCTGAGTAGCTGGGATTATAGATGTATACCACCATACTCAGCTGTGATTATTATTTTTTAAGCATCATATTTTCATGTACTACCTAAGAAATACATGTAGAAAAATGGAAAATGCAAATAAACAAAGAGAAGACAAAGTAAAGGTGCTTATAATTCCACCAGTTGATTTTCCAGTTTTGGTGATTATCCAGTGTGGTACATTTAAAAAATAAAGCTGATATTTTAGATAGATTGACTTTTCAAATCAATACATACAGTATTTTAAAAACTTAAAATGTCATGCATCATCATCTTTATTTGTGACTTTCTATTCTTATTAATACAACTATTTTAATATTAAATCATTGCATTACAGTGATGCTTTAGAAATTCTGATATTTTGGTATTAGAACTGTAGAATGGACTTTGTTTTGTGTTTGCATGTCTGTAAGCAACCTAGATCTTTCTAAAATAAGGACTGAGAATCACTGAGTTTATATATTTAAAGTTGTTAATAAGATGGATTCCACAGGTCTAAACAGAAGTCTTACTTGAGACAAAGCTAAACTCCCCACCACCCCTGTGCATCATTATATCCAGGGCCTTATGCTAGGCAAGCCCTGCATCACAACTGAACTATATTCCCGGCCCAAAGACCTCCTTTATATTTGCACTGTTGATGTATATCAAATAGCCAAACTAGAATTAAACTATAGAGAAACTCATGTAATTCTGAACTTCATTCATACTATAGAAGATCTTAATTTTCATTGGTATAGTTGAATTCTTTCCCTTTATGAAATAAAAGTGAAAAATCCTGAATGAACCATTAGATACACAGATGAACAAATGCCTATGTGGTCTTGAGTATTTGCCTTGAGTATGGTGGTAGTTTGGCATTGAAATTTATATAGAATTTACTATTTGGAGAAAAATGTTCTTCCCTAAGTTACCTCACTTAATTTGGACTCTGTAATTCTTTATTTTCACATACTTGCAGAGCCATATATGCAGTGTTTTAAGAAAGATGTGATAATAATTAGAAAATAACTTGGAGTTCTGATTAATGTCTAACAATTTTAGCCATATAATGAATGAATCAGATTAGGTAGTGTTAGCATCTATCAAATGCCACAACAACATATTTAAGTAGTATATGTACCCTTTATAAGTGATGTATCTCTATATAAAGCCTTTTGTTTTTCTACCTTTTCTCATAGGGTGATAAGAGATTTGTTTTTAAGTTGTAATGGAGTAAATCAAATAATTGAATTAAATTACTTAGATGGTATTCGAAGTCATTCCCTAAAAGCATTTGAAACGCTGATCATCAGCCTAGGAGAGACACAGAAAGATGCTTCAATTCCAGGGATCGATGGGCTGGATATTGAACAGAAAGAACCATCATCTTCAAGTGTAGATACTCCATTTCATAACCAGCAAGCTTATTCAGATTCTCCTCAGAGCCTCAGCAAATTTTATGCCAGTCTCAAAGAATCTTATCCAAAGAAATGGAAAACTGGTCACCAGGATGTGCATCTCAACACCATAAATCTCTTCCTCTGTGTGGCATTTTTATGTGTAAGTAAAGAAGCAGAGTCTGATAGAGAGTCAGCCAATGAGTCAGAAGACACTTCTGGCTATGACAGTACAGCCAGTGAGCCCCTGAGTCATGTGTTGCCGTGTTTGTCTCTCGAGAGCCTTGTCCTGCCAACTTCAGAATGTATGCACCAAGCTGCAGACGTGTGGGCTATGTGTCGTTGGATCTACATGTTGAGCCCAGTCTTCCAGAAACAGTTCCATAGGCTTGGTGGTTTCCGAGTGTGCCATAAATTAATAATTATGATAATACAGGAACTACTAAGAAATAATGAAGATAAGCAAGGAAGAAAGCAGGGTGATATGAATGCAAATGAAAACCAGGACTTAGCCAGAACTTGTCGATCTGAAGTAACTATGAAGGAAGAGTTATCATCTTTGACTATGAAAAGTGACTCCACATTATCAGAATTAGATAACCTAAAGAAGAGTGCTGACAATTTAGGGAAATTAGAGTCACAACATATTTCTTCCATAAATGTGGAGCAAATTTCAACCTCTGAAGCTGTTCTTGAAGAAGCAAAGCTACTTACAAATCAAGAAACTGAAACCTTGCTTTATAGCATACGACTTTTGGAAGCCCTTCTGGCCATTTGTCTTCATAGTGCCAGAACCAATCAACAAAAGACGGAATTGGAGTTGCCCAGTCAGGTATTACTATGCATATATTTTAAATTATGTTATTTTCCCAAAATTTTGATGTTTTGCACATCCCCTAGGCTTAGCACAGTATAAGGTCTTATGTAGGACACAAAGGAGACCCTTAAGTGACCCTATTCTTAACATAAAGAAGCTTACAGTTGCGTTTACAGTGCACACACCCTATTTGAAGCAGTTTATGCATTTAGTGTCAGATAAGTAAGTCTCATACTGTGTTTCAGACTTCAGAGTTCACATTCTTCGCGTGATGCTCTTCGGTGCCCTGCCTAGGCCCCTTACATTTGTTTCTAGTTCTTGCATAATTGTTATCCTATCTTCTCTATACCTGTTTCTCATGCTGAACTGAATTTGTTATAGGAGTAGTCAGGTTCTTATCCATCCTTATGTTGTCATCATCTGTTGTAGGGATATGGGCACACAGTGAAAGCTTCCTTTAAGGGTATAAGAGAAGGAGAGAAAAAGATTACAATACAACTGCTTCTTAGAATCTTGTGAATCCCTAAGAATAAGGAAGTTGTAAATTATAAAGATGGTTAATTCAAACTCAGGTTTTGAGGAATAGTTTTATGATATAGTTAATTAATGGTACACTAAAATTTAAACCAAATGAGCAATGTGTTTGATAAACAAAAATATTATTAGCCCAGAGTGACGGGACACGCCTATAATCCCAGTACTCTGGAAGATTGAGGCAGAAGAATTGCAAGTTCAAGCCCTGTCTGGGCAATTTAGTGATTTAGTGAATCACTATATTAAAAGAAGGCTAGTACTGTGTACATACATGCAAAAGTTGCTAATTTTAACAATAGGTATTTGGATAGATTTTAAAATTTATATGACTTACCTTCCTATCAATGGCAAGTAAGTGAACTCATTTTCTACTTATTAAATAGTTATTTTGTCACTGTTTATTGTTTTAAAAAGCATATTATTAATATTCTTTGTTTCTTTTATTTTACCGTAGAACTTATCTGTGGAAAATATATTATGTGAAATGAGGGACCATCTTTCACAGTCAAAGGTGACTGAGACAGAATTAGCAAAGCCTTTGTTTGATGCTTTGTTTCGAGTTGCCCTGGGGAATCATTCAACAGATATTGAACATAATGATGCTATGACTGAGAAGGTATGAATCCATTTGGTGGCGTTATTTGGGTTATTTGCCTTTGACAAGCAGAGGCAGGGATGTATCAGGTGGAACTAGGACACTAAATCATATAGTTAGAATATAGGGACCTCAGTTTGATCAGGTGAGTTTTGTGGGTTGTACCATCATCTGGGATGGATAGTTTTTGCTAGTGCCCAGTCTCCAAAAACAGGAGAGCAATATAATGTACTTTTCTTTTTTTTCATGTCATTTATTTATTTTTATTTTTTGGTACTAGGGATCAAACTCAGGACTCTGTGCTTGCCAGGCAGGCCCTTAAACTACTGAGCTATCTCCCCAGCCCCCATTTTACTATTATTATTATTATTATTATTATTATTATTATTATTTTCAATCAGATTATGACATACTTTTCTTAATTTAGCCTAGAAATTTACTAAGAATTATTCTGGACAAGACAGAAATGTATTTATTTGATCTGATAAATGTTATCAATAATTGATAATTTAGTAAATGATAATTCAGGATGGTGATAATATAGGGCTTATCTGATCCTATGGTGGTACAATTTATATTTCTAGAACTCTACTCAATTTATTATTTTTTTTACCCAATTTAAATCACTTAATATAAAAATGTCAAAAAAATAAAATAATAAAAAAAATAAAAATGTCTAGTACTTGCAAAAATAATAATCATTGGTTGTGTCAATTTTTTTTTTCTTTTTTCTGTACTTAGGACAGGGTCCACAGGGTCTACAGGGTCTCACTATGTAGATCGGACTTGTAGTGATTCTCCTGTTTTCAGCCTCCCAAGTGCCTCCTCCGATGGAGGCACTTGTAGTGATTCTCCTGTTTTCAGCCTCCCAAGTGCCTCCTCCGATGGCACGCGCCCACTCTCAATTGCCATTTTAGCATGCCCCGTGGGTGGAGCTGGCATGCCGGGGATCCAACCCCAGCCCTTATGCTCTGCCTAAGCAGGTGCTTTAGTCCATTGAGCTATCAGGCTAGCCCTAACATTTTTTTCTAAAGTAATGATTTAAATTTTTTTTCCTGAAAATACAGTGTTTTTACATGTTTATATATCTTTTATGTTTCTTTTACCTTTGATTAATTATTGCATTCTTTTATCTTTAATATACATATATAATTTTTATTTAATTTTATTTTTTGTATTTTAGGGAAGGCTCTACAGTTTGTTCAGGGTCTCACACCTGTTTACAGCCTCCCAAGAGCTGGGATTACAGGCGTGCACCACCACGCCCAGTCTCAATCCTAGTCTCAGTGCACCTCAAGGTTGAGGCTGGCACAGCACACCCAGGGATCAAGCCCCAGGCCCCTGTGTCTGCTTGCAGGCACTTTAATCTGCTGAGCTATTTAGCCGGCCCTTATTTTTAATATAACTTTTCTTTTAAATCTTTGGTCTAGTGATATATATGTTTTATAATCTTTTGCTGTATTATTTTAATTAGTTTGCTATAACTTTAAAACTTACTAAAATAGCTATTAATACCTTCATTTTAGTACTGAATCAACTGGTTAACTATAAAATAATTAAATACCAGCTTTATGCTCCCTTTTTTGCTGTTGCAATGATATAGTGTACTTTGAGCCTTTTCTTTTTTTTAATTTAAAAAAAATTTATTTATTTATGTATTTGGTACAGGGTCTCACTACATAGCTCGGACTCATAGTGATCCTCCTGTCTCAGCCTCCCCAGTGCTGGCATTACAGGTGTGCATCACCATGCCCAGTTTCAGTGGCTGGCTAGATGTGGGGCTGGCACAGCATGTGGTACCTGGGATTGGGGATCGAACCTAGGTCCTTGCGCTTTCCAGTCAGGCAAGCTCTTAGACTGCCAAGCTATCTCTCCAGCCCTACTTTGAGCATATAAGAAAAGGAAGGTGTCTTGCTGTAGATATTGCATAGGAAGTTAATGTTAGAACTTGATTTCTAAGAACCTTGTATATAGACAGTTGAATTCTGAGATCTTTACTCCCTTTGAAAATTTGCCATCACTTTTCTAATTATCTATGAAATATCTTATTTATAAAAATCCTTTGAAAAGATGTTTTATTAGCCAGGTGTGGTAATACACACTTGTAATCCAAGCATTTGAGAGGCTGAGGCAAGAGGATCTTGAGTTTGAGACTAGCTTCATTTACATAGTGAATTTGAGGCCAGCCTGGCCTACATTGCAAAACCTTCTCTCGACAAACAAAACAACAACAAAAAGACATTATTTTCATTAACAAATCTGTGAAAATAACACACAGTTATTAGCATTAATTTATATCAAGTATAGTTCTGCCTCATTGTGGTTTTCACTCATTCCCTATTTGTAGCAAGAATTAGATTTGTTTTTCAGTGAAACTGAAAGGCTCTGTGGCTTTGTTAGAAACCTCTTTTATTAAGGTGTTAGCTGAGAAAAACAACATTGCATGAATTTCATAATCTTACAATGGCTATTAAGATTTATTCTTTTCTTAAAGGACATATTGATTGGCTCTGTCCTTAAAATTACTTCTGAGTAATAAATGTTCTATTACTAAGAATGAGTGAATGTTACAATGATTGCCTTTAAATTACACTAATCTTAACAGAGTCATCAATCTGAAGAAGAAGTATCATCCCAGCCTGGAGATTTTTCAGAAGAAGCTGAGGATTCTCAGTGTTGTGGTTTTACACTTTTGGTTGAAGAAGAAGGTTATGAAGCAGATAGTGAAAGCAATCCTGAGGATGACAAAACCTGCAATGATGGTAAATTATCCCAGATGTATTTCCTGTTAGATATGCAATTCAGATAGTTAATTAGCAAAATGGCTCATAAGGATACCATTTTAGAATTTTGCATTCCTTACAATTTTATTTTATTTTTTAATGTATTTAGTACAGGGTCTACAGGTTCTTATTACATAGATTGGACTCATAGTGATCCTCCTGTTTTCAGCCTCCCAAGCACTGGGATTACAGGTGCTCACCACCACACCAGTCTTCTTTACAATTTTAAAAGGGCATTGCATTATCATTGTGTTTGGTTTTCACAACAAGTGGGGTGTTTGTATATGCAATGTAAGCAATGAGGTAAATCTTATTACACTGTGCATGGGTGAAAGACAGTCTTTACTTTCATATACATTCTACTGAAAGACAGTAAGTGTCAGAAGTAAACAGCATGGGAATATAAAACCAGGTGATATAATAGTGACTAGGTGGGTGGTCAGGGAAAGCCTTTCTGAAGAAATGATATTTATGTTGAGATCACAATAAAAAAGAGCTAACCAAACACTGGCACTTCATTATGAGTAAATGACAAAAGAGGTGCAGAGACCCTTCTGAGACGCACGAGGACATAGCAGGATAGATTCCTTCTTAGCTTAACACTGACCAGATTGTCCTTAGGCTAGAAGTATAACCATCTTTTTGTCTTTGGGTTAAAATGGGTAGAATGGAAAAAATAGATTGATTAATGGTAAAGATTTTTGGAAAGTTCTGTATTTTCATATGCTGGCCTTCCGCATTTCACACTACTATTGGTCTTCACTAAGTTTAGAATAGATAAACTATTCTTCTTCCCGAGTTAAACTTCTCTTCCCCTTGGAGTGATTGGGAATAATCATTGATATTCCAGTTAAAAGGCCTAGTGAACACGTGGTTGGTACTTTTTGAAAAAATATTGATGTGATGGTGGTTTTATAAGATAGGTATGTTTATATAATGATAGATTTCTTTGCTTTTGTGTTTGCTACCTGAATCTCCCAAGAATTCTGGTTTAGTCAGAAATTTATAAATTTCTTCAATATATGAACATTTTTAGAAGAACACAGCAGTCTTTTTAAAAGATCATTATCAGTTTTCCAAAATGTAATATTGAGTAAGACAGCATTTGTTGGGGCTGGGGAGATGGCTCAGTGGAATAAACACTTCCCTGGCAAGCGCAAGGGCCTGAGTTCAATCCCGGTTCGAAAAAAAAAAAAAAAAAAGACAAAGACAGCATTTGTTTCTACATAACGCTGTGGTAGTTACTGTTCTCATTGTGGAAACAGTATCCAAACTTAAAGGGAAAAGCTTGGTTAAAAGCTCACACTTTGTAGAGCTTTCAGTTTGTAATTGTGTCAACCTCCAAGGCAGCAGTTCCTGACCTCTGGGGCAGCAGAAGACAACAAAAGCAAAAGGGGAGTAACTTTCCTCTTTCTGCCCTTTTTATTTTATCCAGACTCCTGGGATTAGGGTAGTGCCAGTCAAATCAGTGGACTAATCCAGCAACCACCTGCCCTTAATCCCAGCACCTTAATCGCAGTATTGCACTATGAATCAGTCACAAGCTAGATTCAGGTGCCTCTGAAAAGCCAGACCCCTTGACTGCATGAGGCTTTGGGGAGACATCTAGACATAAACCATAACAGAAGACAAAGTTTAGAATTCAAGCAGGGGCCGAGGAAATGGCTCAGTAGAATAAGCACTTGCCTGGCAAGCACAAGGGCCTGAGTTCAATCCCTGGTTCCACCAAAAAAAAAAAAAAAAAAAAAAAAAAAATTCAACCAACCAATAGCTACAGATGTTATTTTCACTGAACTATGGAAAGTGAATTAAATTACCCTATGATTTAGGTATTTGGGGGTCATAAAGTTTGGGATAGTGCGTTTTCAATTGTATTAGAAAAAGTTATTAAATTTATATTACATGTCTATAAAATTGCTGTTGGTAATATTTCTAGTTTTACTGATGATCAAAATTACTTTTAAGAGTATTCCATTGGGGCCGGGGAGATGGCTCAGTAGAATAAGCACTTACCTAGCAAGCGCAGGGGCCTGAGCTCATTCCCTGGTTCTGTAAAAAAAAAAAAAAGAGTATTCCATTATTTTCAAACTATGTATAAGACTTTATTGTTTAGGATTTGTGCCTAATTAAAAGTAAAATAGGAAAAAGTTTTGCAAGCATCTTTTTATAAATAGCGCTTTTGAATGCTGAATCTTCTGAATGCTAAATAAGGTTGAAATGTGTGTTCAGTGGTGAGAGTATAAAAATAATCTTTTCTTTTCCCTTTTCAGGGGTATACTTAAAGCCTGAAACAGAAGTCTTCAGTGCCATAGTCAATCCATATGATTTACTTGAAAACCTTACTCAGGGAGAAATAGTATATCCTGAGATTTGTATGCTGGAGTTAAATTTGCTTTCTACTAGTAAAGCTAAACTTGATGTGCTTGCTCATGTATTTGAGAGTTTTTTGAAAATTATCAGGCAGAAAGAAAAGAACGTTTCTCTGCTCTTGCAACAGGTAAGCGAGACATTAGATTTGATCAGTGTTTATCAAGTCCATGCCCAATTACCCAGTACCTTATTTATAACCTAACTTGTCTAAAAATTAGTTGAGAATTCCTGTCCTTAATGAGTTATAGAAATGACCCCTGAAAGTATAGGCTTCTCTTGTCCTTTAAAATACCTTCAATGTGCTTTGACCTTAAAGTGATACTCCAAAATCTTCTAATCTCATATTTCTCTAAAGTAATATAAAAAGTTCAGACTGCCATTGGATAACTAGTAATTAGTTTAGCATTTCTGAGAATTGATAACATTTAAAAAATTGCCTTTAATTGTAATGTATGCTCATCATTTTAAAAAACATGAGAAAACTGAGGACAATACACAAAAAATGTATAATCCTACATGAAGCATTCTTTCCAGCCATCTAAGAAAAAAATCACACACAGGATAGTAGGCCTCTATGCATTGCAATTCCTTTGTGTTTTCATGAGGTAAGACATTTAATTTGTGCATTTCATTTTTTAATCTTCAGGGAACTGTGAAAAATCTTTTAGGCGGGTTCCTGAGTATTTTAACACAAGCTGATTCTGAATTTCAAGGTGAGTTGAAAATATTAATTTTAAACAAACAGCTTTAAAATAATTTGCTGTTGTGTGATAATCATGGCTTCCACTCAAGTAGTACCGGGTGATTTCAAAAGTATTTTTATACACATCATTGAATTTGCTCCTTAGACCGACTCAATGAACCAGACTTAGTATAAGCACCTTTATTATATTAAAAGGAGCATCTAGACTCTGAGTGACTGAGTTGTTCACAGTAATGTTGTAGAGACTGTCATCCAGTATGAACCTTATATGTCTGCCTTATTTAATATCTTCTACTCTGTGCTCAGTACTTTTCAGAATCCATAGAGAATATATGGATCATGCTATCATGATTTTTTAACTCAAATAACCAAATTTTAATTGGAGTACAAAGGATGTGTTAGCTTGTGTTTGTGTGATGTTTCTTTCAGATTAAATTCAGATTATACATACATTTTTGGCAGGAATCCCCAGAAGTGCTGCTGAGCTCTTCTGAGGGCATCACCTCAAGAGGTTTATGATATCTAGTGATGTTAACTTTGATTACTTGGTTAATGTGGCGTCTTCTGGGTTTCTTCTTTGTAAAGTTACTATTTCCTCCTTGTAATTAATAAGTATTTTATGGTACAGTAACTTAAAATATATAAATATCCTTCTTATCATACTTTAACCTCATAAGCTGTGCACAGTGGTAGTATTGTAGCCAATGAGGTTTATCTGAAGTGTGATTATTGCTAATTGAAAACTTTAACCTCATGAGTTTGGCTTCCATTGATGGTCCTCAATGGAAATAAATAGTACATGGTACTTACCAAAAAGCAATTTTCCATTTTCTATTTCTATCATTCTTTGTACATTTATTAATTGAATTTGTACTGTAAGAAAAAGGTTTCCATTTGCCCCATTTACTTATTTAATGTATGAGTGTATTATATCCCACATTATACTCTCTACCTATTTCCCCTTTTATCACCACCTAATGTTAGCATGGTATATACATTACAGTTAACGAACTTATATTGCTATGTTATTACTAATATCCATAGTTTATTCAAATTTCATTATTCATTATTCAAAGTTTTTACTTCATGTTCTTTATTTGTTCAAGAATCCTATATAGACTACCACATAATAATTAATTATAGCTTCTTGTTTCTGTTATGCTTTTCATATTAAGTCTAGGAAGTTCTGACTTAAGGTCACAAAGATTTATTTTAAAAAATAATTTTCACTATATCCTCTGTTCTTTGTTTTCTTGCATATTAATTGTAATCTTGGGGCCTTGGATTGACCCTACATATGCCATATATCGTGTTATCCACATATCTCATTTTGTATTTTTTTTCTTTTTTGTGGAACTGGGGACAGAACTCAGGTCCTTGTGCTTGCCAGGCAAATGCTTATTCTACTGAGCCATCTCCCCTGCCCCATTGTATTTTATTTTGTGAGATTTTTCAATGCAATTCCAACTTCTAGTGTTTTAAGTTTGGCAATTATCTGTTTAATACTTTAGAGCTATTTTTGTTTGATTATTTCCTAGTTATTTTTTGTATAAGAATATATTTGCTTTTTTATATGTTGAAAAATGTTTTTATATTGCTGATTCTAAAATATTTTGTGAATTTTCTGCTTTTATATTTAAGAATGCTGTTGGAAGTTTCCTCTTATGTTGTAGAAGTTAATTTTTTCTTTTTTGACTTCTTCCTGGAATGGGTAGTCTATTGTTTTTGTCACTGGTAGGTCAACTTTAATTTAGTTATCTTACTGTTTCTTCACAAATTTTATGATTTCTAGATGTACAACAGTATTTGATCTTTTTCTGTGAAATTATGTATTCATTTTTCTTAATTGAATATGTACTGGCTTTAATTTTTCCTTTCTTTTTCACATTTAGTATGCCAGAAAGTATTGGTCGATCTCTTAGTATCTTTGATGAGTTCAAGAACATGTGCAGAAGAGTTAACCCTTCTTTTGAGGGTATTTCTGGAAAAATCTCCTTGTACAGTAAATATGCTCTAATTTTTATATTTATATGCCTTAATATAATGTTTTGAAAATTATTTAGAAGTCATGAAGCTCTTTCTTTTGGTGTGGTAATTGTATATAGTCAGTTCTATGTTGATATGTTTGAAGTAACCAATTTTTTATTATTTACTTATATTTTATTTCATTTCAATTTTAATTAACTAGATTATAGTTCCTTTAACTCACTGTACCTCCAACCTTTGTGCTTGAGGAATGCTAAGTAATTTTAAGGAGAGTCTAATGATGAGTAATTACAACTTTTTTAGGGGTAATTCTTTTCTAACCAAAAATCCACTCTCAATTATTTCACATATTTTCCTTTCCACTGATATAGCTCAGTGGCTTTTAATAGCTAAAATACCCATTTTTAATAATGAAACTCTGAATAAAGGACTAAGCAAATACAACAGAAAACTTCATGTTTTGTGTGACGCAAGATGAGTTCTTTCAAAGCTCTTCCTGTTTCCCTGCCCCTCTGGCTCCACAGCTCCCAGAGAAGCTCTGTGCACACAGGTCAAAAAACTGTCATTGACACTTGGCTGTGTGTTTATGGAAGCCTTTTAGTACTTCTCCTGAGCATACTCCTCCTGATGATAATCAACATTAGATGTTACGTTATGCATGAGAAGGGCATTTCACTAGGTTAATCTTTCCTACTCTTTATCTTGCCTTAGATTTTTTAATATTTTAGTTCAACAAAAACTTAAAATTATGAGCAAAATTCTTATTTCAATTTTCCAAACACGATGAAAGAAAATGTACTTGATTAGAGAAAAGCCATGTGAATAAATTGCAGTATAATTGAGCAATCAATTTTATGAAGTCAGTCATGATCTAATACCATTCAGAAATCTTGAGAACTTATAGTCTTTGGGTATATATCCCCAACTTTACTAAAAAGTAATTGAGGCTAAGCATGTGGCTCATACCTATAATCCCAGCACTCAGGAGGCTGAAGCAGGAGGATCTGTGAAAGTTCAAGGCCAGCCTGAGCTATATAGTAGGTTCAAGGCCAGCCTGAACTGCTTAGTGAAACCCTGTCTCAAAAAAAAAAAAAAAAAAAAAGGAAAGAAAGAAAGAAAGAAAGAAAGAAAGAAAGAAAGAAAATGAAAAATACTAAAGAAAAGTAATTGAGAGTGGGCTGAGGAGATAGCTTAGAGGAGTGAGTGCCTGCCTGACATGTGCAAGGTCCCAAGTTTAATATCCTTGGTATCAAAAAAGAAAAAAAAAGGTAATTGAGAGAACATAAGTGGAAACTTTAAAAAAGGACCTGAAAGTAAAATAATTACTAGAGACTAGGGAAGGTGTTGGGGATGGGGCGGGGGTGGGGTAAAAGAAGGGTAAATGGACATGATGTGTGCATGTATGAAAATATGGCGAAACCATTAATTCATACAGTTAGTATTTATTAATACTTACAATAAAGATAATTGAGAGAAGACCTGAGACTACCTGGAAATAATCATTTTTATTTTGCGTAAATGATTCCTGATATAATATTTATAACAAAACTAATCATAAATGCTGTTTGTACCTTTAAAATATCTAAATTTAAATCCAACAAATCACAAGATTATATATTTTAAGAATAAAATGCTTCAAATTTTATCTTAACTGAATAAAAAAATGGAAATTTTAAAGACATGATATAGAGCTGGGGAGACAAATATCTGCCTGGCAACTGCAAGGACTAGGGTCTGATCACCAGTACCGCAAGCTGCGCTGGCCCTGGAACCCTGGGCATGGTGGTACACACTTGTAATGCCAGTACTGGGAAGACTGAGACAGAAGAGTCACTATGAGTCTGGACTGCATAGTGAGACCCTATTCCAAATAAATAAACAAAATAAAAGATTAAAGATTTGAAGATATGATAGAAAGCAGCTTAAATAGAAATGCTGTTATAGATGGGATGTCTGTATTTTCACTTATAAGCCAAATTTCAAGATTACTGTCTACCTGGTTTCATGATTATAAACTTTCATTTATTTTCATATTTCTTTAGGAAATTCTTCTTCTGGGTATTTTGAAAATTGTTGAAAGTGATGTTACCATGAGCCCCTCACAGTATCTAACTTTTCCTTTGCTGCATACTCCAAGTTTAAGCCACAGTGTCTCATCACAAAAATGTCCTGGGATTTTAAACAGTAAAGCCATGGGTTTATTGAGAAGAGCACGAATTTCACGGGTCAGGAAAGAGGCTGATAAAGAGAGCTTTCCCCACCGGCTTCTTTCCTCTTGGCACATAGCCCCAGTCCACTTGCCGTTGCTGGGACAAAACTGCTGGCCACACCTGTCAGAAGGCTTCAGTGTCTCACTGTGGTTAAATGTGGAGTATATCCATGAATCTGAAGGTGGTACAGAAAAAAGAAAGAAGATAAAGAAAAGAAACAGATCATTAATTGTACAAGACAGCAGTTTTGATGGATCAGGTATGATTGTAGGGTTATCTAATTTGTACACTAAAATTTTTCAGATGGAAGTTTGGGTTGAGCACTTAGGGTACATATAGCAATGTTGGAACTAGCTCTTAACATGTTCTTCACTTTGAAAACCTTACTAAATAGTGGTAGGTTCTGAGTTACCAAGCCTGAGTTGTTGTAAAGCCTTTAAGTCTGTATTCCCTCCTGTACTTTTTGTCTTTAGGGAGAGAATAGGTATATACTACATATGCAATGGCTGTTGGAGTCAAAATCCCCATTTCCTGCCTCTTTTTTTAAATTTAAATTTTTATTTTTTCCCCATAATTTTATTGATAAACAAGTAGCAATGAGACAGTTTCAAATCAATCCTGCCTCTTTTTTGGTCCCATTACTTGATTGGTGTGGCTGGTCATGTTCTGTTCCCAGCCTCTATACACAGCCCCATTCCATCTTCTTTCTCATCTCTTCAAGTTTTTTTCTTGCTGAGTCTTATCTCAGTGGCCCTCCCCCTAGCTCCTGTCAAAGAATGTTTATATCTCCAGAGTTAGAGCAAAATTCATCCCAGTCCTTCCGTGGTTGAAGATTGCTGTTACATTGCCTTGGAACTGCATCTTGTTTTGGGCAGAAAGAAGCTGTTGATTAAAAAGCAGTTTATGGTGGTGGGAAGTCAGATAAGTAGGATCATTTTTAGGGTTCCAGAAATAAAATGATAGGATGAGAGAGATGTTGAGGGTTTTACATAACATATTCATAGAAGTGCAGGTCTCAGTAACTCTTCATTCCACAAACCTCACCATCCATGGAGTCTCTGTTTCAGGTTTTCACTCACCAGGATATGGACAGGAAAATCCCTAATGATGTCTCCAAGATTGAAATGATGGGAAATGTTGTCTTATAACCACAGTTTGGAGTCTGAGTCCATTTTTGACACTTTCTGTGTTATTAAAATATCATAATACTTGTGTACTTTTACAGGTTAGCTTAGGAAGGTAAAATTTTATTCAAACTTATTCATTAGGTACCATACAGTGGTGTATATTTTATTTGTAGTCTCTTAGTTAAATAAATCTAAATTAAACTTAACTATGGAGCCAAGATAATATTTATTAATTTT